TATCTTCTGGAAGTTACCTCTACTGTATTTAAATACTGGTCTTATTTGTTTTTATTGTTGTTTAGTCACTAAGTCACGTCTGATTCTTGCCACACTATGGGCTGTATCCCTCCAGGCACCTCTGTCCTTGGGATATCCTAGCCAAGAATACTGGAGTAGGTTGCCATTTCCGTCTCCAGTGGATCTTCCCAACCCAGGGATTGAACCTGCGTCTCCTGCATTGGCAGGTGAACTCTTAACCACTGAGCCACCAGAGAAGCCTTGATCTTATATCACTACTTCTTAATTTATCAATATTTGATTTCTTTTGCCATGTTTTTTCTGTTCTACTTTTACTCTGATTTTTTTAATACAATTTACAGTTAATCTTGCTTTTCTCTTAGTAATTCACTATTAGGGAAATATTTTATGTTTTATATCATTGCCTATTTCAAACCTACAGAAATTTGTAGAGAATGACATAAAAACCACCATGTACCAAGAAGTAACACATAATAACATTTTGCCATTTGCTTCAGGTTTTTTTAAAGCAATATTGCAGATACATTCAATTCCTTCTTAATCCTCCCCTGGTCCCATTTTCTTCCTTCCATTCCTCCCTAAAGGCAACCAGCATCCTAAGGTTGGTGTGTGTTCCTCACATCCTTGGGTTCACACCATTAGCGTCTGAGTCTAAATCATGATTGGTTCTCCTGAGTCTGACACAGGTTTAAGGATGTGTTCAGGTTAAGGACATTTGCTGAATGAATGATTTTCAAGGTAAACTTTGGCTTTGTGTTTAAGGCCTCTAGGAATGTTATTCATTCATTCAAAAGCATACATTAAGTACTAACTATATCACATGGACCTTGATTACCTTTTGGGGAAATCTGCTGGGTACAAAGTTTCAGATTCCCTGGAGAAGGAAATGGTAAGCCACTCCAATATTCTTGCCTGGGAAATCCCATCCACAGAGAAGCCTAATGGGTTACAGTCCATAGGGTCACAAAAAGTTGGACACGACTTGGCGACTACACAATAACAATATGAATACGGCAGAGTTTTCCCATTCTTGTGTAGCCCACAGCCCCATGTGAGTTGTAAGTAAAAACACAACTACAACTCATTGGGAAAGTCATACTCTTCTGGGTAGATGTGGTTGTCCTGGAGTTCCTGGAAGATGCAACTTTCCAGATTCAAAGAGTGGGGGAAGGCTTCCTGGAAGAGAAGGCATCTAAGCTGAGACACACAGGATGAGTTAGACTTACCCAGGCAAAGAGGCTATGGGAAAAATGAATGGAAGAGGGTTCGGCTTGAAATATACTGTGTGCAAAGGTCCAAGGAAAAGAGTTACCATTGCATTTCCAAGAGAGAAGCAAATTTAATTAGACTGGTGCAAGTTTAGTCTGGCTACAATCTGGGAAATGATTTGGAGGAGAATAAGGGTAGAACAAATACAAGTCAGGAGGTTCCTGAAATGGTTCAAAGTCAGATGGTGGCCTCAAATAAAGTGGTGACTTTGGAGACAGAATCAGCAATACTTGGTCATGGATTGGGGGTGGGCATGAGGAACAGGATGAGCCAGCCCCCTCCCCCATCACCAAGACCAGTGTTTTCAGGAGGTCACGTCAGGAGATGATTGTGGGTGGAGATGGTAAGTAGAAAGAAAGAAAGGTACTGCACATGTGGCCAGGACTGTGAGAGATTCTGCATCTCTAACCAGTGTGGCTGAGTGTATGTCTGCCCAGGCTAGCCCTCTTAGAATATCTTCTCATGGTTTTGTGGGTTTTGTGTCTTAAGCCAAGTGGAAGCATCCTTTCAATTATTACCAGACCCGGAAGAAAGAGAACTTCTTTGTGGATGGGAGGACCTCTCTCCGCATCCCCATGATGCACCAGAAGGAAATGCACAGGTTCCTCTATGACCAGGAGGTGGCCTGCACTGTCCTGCAGCTGGAATACAGCGGAAATGCTCAGGCCCTGCTGATCCTCCCTGACCCGGGGAAGATGGCACAGGTGGAGGCCACTCTGCAGCCAGAGACCCTGAAGAAATGGGATAAATTGCTCCTCCCCAGGTAAGTACCAGAGTGGAAGGACTCTGGCTGACTTTGTATGACAAACCAGCAGGTCTTGATCAACTCCAGCTGCAAGATCCTAAGCCCCAGCTTGGCTCTCTGCACTGCCAGTTAACCAACTATGTGATCTTGGGCAATTCTTGCCGTGTGGGTCTCAGTTCTTAGTCGCTCAGTCGTGTGTCAGACTCTTGGTGACCCCATGGACTGTAGCCCACCAGGCTCCTCTGTCCATGGAATTCTCCAGGCAAGAATACTGGAGTGCGTTGCCATACCCTTCTCCAGGATGTGGGTCTCAAATTTTCTCAAATGTAAAATGGGGCCATTATAACCACCACACTGGGTTGCTTAGAGGATTAATCAAGTTAATATGTAGAGAATATGAGAGTGGTACCTGGTGCAGGAGAAGGGCTCACCAGGTATTAATCATGTTTACCCCTTCCTGGACATCTTTCTGCTTTTCTTCTTGTCTTTTTCTCTGGATAATAATTTACTATGAGAAGACAGCTAAGTGTACGTAACAAATCAGATCAAGGACAATTATCCAATACTAAGAATAATTATGATTCACAGAACAGTGGGTATTTCTTAAGAGTGCCTCTTTTTTAGTTAAAACATTCCTTAAAGAAGCTAAATACCAAGAAGAACATTGTAAAAATAAAAATGCTGATTGCCAGTTTGGGGGAACTCTATCTAACCCCTTCTATCTCACTTGCTTTTTGGTTTGTGGTTTTTCTCATAGTGGTTTTAGCCTTTTCTGGTTTCCCTAGACTGCATACTCCAACTAACCCATTCTTGATATGTTTCTTCCTTTATGGGGTACTCTGGATAAAACCTGGCCTCAAGTTCTAATTACCTCTTGCTACATAACAATCCACCCCCAATAGAATAACTTGAAAAACAGCCATCTAGTATCTCTCTTGATTGTGCAGGTGGACTGGGTTCAGCTGGGCGGTTGTCACTTGGGTCTCTCGTGGATGGAGTCAGATAGTGGCCCAAAGTGGAGCGCTGAAGTCTCTTCCACTTGGATGTCTAGACCCTGGGCTGGCTGGCTGGCTGAGCTAAGAGCTTAGCAGGCATCTCTCTCTCTCCAGGCAACATCTCCATGTGGCTAGCCTGGGCTTCTACACAGCAGCTCGGCACAGTTGATATTGTTATATGACAGCTCAAGAATCCAAGAGGGAGCATTCTGAAAGGCAGGAAGTGAAGGCTCCCACTCTTTTAAGGCCTGGGCTCAGAAGTTAGCCAATGTCATTTCTGCCATATTCTATTGGTCAGAACATTTGCTGGCTTCAAAGGGATGAGGTATAGACTAAACCTCTTAAATCCACCATCACTACTTGATAGGTGTCAGTCACCCTCATCCACATGGGAGCCTTCTCTCAGCAGCCCAATGGCACAGGTTCCAAGGATAGAGAAACGGTGTTTTGTGTTTGGGTAGAGATTCAAGTACCAAATAAAAGAGATACAGGTCATGGACAGAGGCCAGGATTTAAAGTATTATTCCTGTTGTTCATGAATCTACACAGCTCTGGTCAGTTTGATTCCAGCGCCATATTCTCAAGCTCTCTTGGGATGAACCTGCCCTTTCCCCCATCACAGAAGGAAGTACCATAGAATCTTCTAGACCAGTAGATTTTTTTTTTCTTAAGAAGCATCTGTTTTGACCTTCCACTTTGACCTTCAAAAATCAAAACCAACCTAGGTTATTTATCTTAACCTCAGTTGTTCCCTGATACCATTTGTTATGCCGGAGAGTTACAATATCATGATAGCATTTGAATGGGCTTCCAGACATGGAAAATTCAAGCTTCCAGGTTTCCCTTTATTCAGCTATGAGAAAGGCTAGTCTGCCCACGGGAATTGTGCTTTCTGATAACTCCATTTTTTACTTACCTTGATTAAACACCTACTCTTATGTTGGGCTCTCTAAAAGCCACACTCAGCTAAGCTATACTCAAACCCTGCTCTGTGGCGGGACCTGCCCTCCAAATGCTGCCTGTGAAAATTGTGTCTGGTTGGCTCAAAAATTGGCCAATGTAGTTTCTACCATACTCTATTGCTTTCTGTGCTCCACATTTATTTCCTTTTTATCACTGTTCAACCCCTAACTTCCCACTACCTCCCACTTCAGTTAGACATCTGTACCCTCATATTGGCCCAGGAGTTAAACCAGTAAAAAATAATCTGAATTAGCATCTCTAATTTGAATTTATTCAAGGCACAAGTTTCCAAGCTGGCTGTAACTAAACCAAGCTTGCAGGTGTCATGACAACTGTCAAACAATAATTTCAGAGATGAATAATCCCAGGAATAAAGGGACAGAATTCTCTGAGTCAAAGGAAATTTGTGAATATAACACTAGGAATAAGACAATCTGATGGTGAAGGCATGGCCGTAACAGGAGAGAGAATTACTCTGGATTCATGATGTCACTTTACATGCAAGGAATCTCATCAGATCTTCAACAGCCCCTGAAGTTCAGATAGATGAGAGATGGTGTAACTTTATTAGGGGTTTGCCAATAGATGGGTTTAGGATATAGTTCAGAAACTGAGCCAACAGAACTTGCTAATAAATCAGATATGGAGGTGGGGCAATGTTAAGAGCATTTACTTTCCACGGTTACTATGTGACTTCAATCAGCAAAGCCTTGGAAACCTAACCCAATGTTCAGCACCTAGAAAGTCCTCCAGAAATGTGACGAAGATGAAGACCTATAGCTGTGCCAGGAGTCTTCTTAGATCCAGACAAGATACTCTGTGTGGTCTGAAGACAAGGGAGTTCTGGATTGTGGGATGTTCTGGCATAGTAGGTGGTATCATGAGAAGCCTGGTTCCCCCACCCTGGGGAGCATGTCTCCCTCCCAAAGCTCAGGCTGCCCACACACAGGGCAAGAGCAGCATGTATAATGAGATAGTGGCTCTTCTCCATCTGATTCTCTCCCCAGCCTGCTGGATTTGCACCTGCCAAAGTTTTCCATTTCTGGAACATATAACCTGGAAGAGATACTTCCTCATATTGGTCTCACCAGCTTATTCCACTCAGAAGCTGACTACTCAGGAATTACCGGGCAGCTCAACAGAACAATCTCCAGGGTAAGGTGGTGTATGTGGATGTGCGTGTTGGCTGGGAGGGGAAGGTATTTTCTCCTTTGACATAAGGTTCACTTGAAAGTCAAGTGCACCTTTTTTTCTTTTCTGGTTCCTCAGTATCACAGTCTTTAAGTCTTCTTTTCACTGGCAGCTCCCTTTTTACTCCCCTTTCTTCTAGACTTCTGTTTTTCAAAGAAAGAACAGAGTCTTGAATAGAGCAGACACCTATCCATGGAGCCAGAATTTTCCCAGGGGTGGGACCAGCCTTTTTATCCTTTAAACTTCCTCCAAAGGCAGGCAGTGAGATTCTGTCTGCCTTTGTTAGAACTGTAGAGAGTAGTGGGCATGAACAGGAAGTGTATCCATCAGCTTTGCTGTAGTAACAAACAATCCCCAAATTTCAGAGGTTTATTACCTGTCCATGTGACATATCAGAGGTGTATCACTACATCTTGTTACAAATCTACTTGGCATGTCTTCTTCATTCTAGAATGTAGGTTAAAAGAATGTAGGCTTCTATGTGGGACATGCCATTCTCATTGCATTGGGGGAAAAAACAGAGAAAATATGCAATGTCTCTTAACACTTCTCCTCACTCATGGCTTCTGTCAAGGCCACTCATCTGTCATTGACTAAGACGAACCCCACAGTTAATACAGCCATCAGTGGGGTGGGCTCATGTTCTCTTGCAGGAGGCACTGCAGGCCACAGGCATGGGCGGGGGCTGATGACAGCCTACAGGAAGGGAGAGTTCGTATTTAAGAAGAAGAATGCAATTTTCCATAAGAGGGAAGACCAAAAAGACCCTTCTGTTCTTCTATTACCTTCCTAAGGTAGAGTCATTATCAGTTTAGTCTTGGCTAGGAATTTCATAAAGAAAGTACACTGTCTTCAATTTCAGAAAGAGCAGCTGAGATTTGGAACATGAATCTAGGGAATAGGGACAGGGTTTTGAGTGTGTGTCTGTGTCTGTGTGTGTCTGTGTGTGTGTGTGTGTGTCTGTGTGTACCTGCCCACCATGGAGAGAGCAAACAAGAGGAAAAAGGAATAAGTTAACCTTCTAAAGGATTCATTTTATGGTAACCTTCACTGTTAGATTTATCTCTTTACAGATCTTTTTAGAAATGAAAGAGACTGTTAAGGCCAATATTTTCAATTTAATTAAATTTAAAGCCTCAGAAACCTTCCTAAGGAGTTGTGTGAAAATGAGGCTTTAAAGGGCTTCCCAGGTGGCACTAGTGGTAAAGAACCTGCTTGCCAATACAGGAGACATAAGAGATGCAAGTTCAGTTCCTGGGTTGGGAAGATCCCCTGGAGGAGAAAATGACAACACACTCCAATATTGTTTCCTGAACAATCTCATGGACAGAGGAGCCTGGCGGACTACAGCCCATAGGGTTGCAAAGAGTCTGACATGACTTAGCATGCAGGTAGAAGGCTTTAAAAGAGCAGAATTTTTTAAATTAATTAGTTTATTTTAATTGGAGGCTAGTTATTTTACAATATTGTGGTGTTTTCCACCATACATCGACATGACTCAGCCATGGGTGCACATATGTCCCCCCATCCTGAAACTCCTACCCACCTCCCTCCCCATCTCCTCCCTCTGGGTGTCCCAGAGCACCAACTCTGAGCACCCTGCTTCATGCATCGAACTTGCACTGGTCATCTATTTTACATATGGTGATATACATGTTTCAAAGCTATTCTTTCAAATCATCCCACCCTCACCTTCTCCCACATAGTCCAAAAGTTTTCTTTACATCTTTACTAGCTTTCTAAATTCCATATATATGTGTTAATATACTGTATTGGTGCTTCTCTTTCTGACTGACTTTATATAACAGGATCCAGTTTCATCCACCCCATTAGAACTGACACAAATGTGTCCTTTTTTATAGCTGAGTAATATTCCATTGTGTATATGTACCACAACTCCCTTATCCACTCATCTGCTCATGGACATCTAGGTTGCTTCCATGTCCTAGCTATTGTCAACAGTGAAGAGTAGAATTCTTTCCATGGAGGCCAGTTCAGGGCTTGGCACATCAGACAACCTGGTTTTGCTGAGCTCATTTTGGAAACCATTGACTTAGGCAGAGCAAGCCATTTCATGAGAAAACTGAGACTTCGTGAGAACAAGCACAGCTCATAGCAGAAAATGATTCTCCAGCCTGTGCTGCGTACACCCGAGCACTTGGGAAATGCTCCTAAAAGTGGCTGTTGGGTTTTTACAGACTGGTGCATGCTTGAGCAGGCTTCCCAGGTGGCACAGTGGTAAAGAATCCACCTGCCAATGCAGAAGATGCAGGATACATGGGTTCCATCCCTGGATCAGGAAGATCCCCTGGAGAAGGAAATGGCAACCCACTCCAATAATCTTGCCTGGAGAATCCCATGGACAGAAGATCCTGGTGGGCTACAGTCCTTGGGGTCAGACACGACTGAGCAAATATGCATGCTCATGCAGCCCTCAACCCCGTTCAGGCCTATCTGTTTCTCCTTCAAAGAGCAAACAGCATGGCCAGGGTGACACCCCAGGAGACAATGGAGGTAGAGAAACCTGTGAAGGAAGGAAATGAAATAAAGGCAGGAGTTGCTTCCTGGGAGGGCGGGGCCTGAGTGGGGTAACTCCGCCTCCATTTCCTTCTGCCGCACAAGGTGGCCTCGGACCCCATGAAGCACCGTGACCTCATGCTGTCTCTGCCCCCTGCTCTCCTTCTAGGTGTCACACAAGGCGACAGTGGACGTGAGTGAGCGGGGAACCGAGGCAGGCGTGGCCTCCGGCCTCCTCTCCCAGCCTCGGTCGCTGAAAGCGACGTCAGCCCCACACGCCCGTTTCAACCGGCCTTTCCTCCTGCTCCTTTGGGAGGTGACCACCGAGAGCCCACTCTTCCTGGGAAAAGTTGTCAACCCAGCTGCTGGGTGACCATCGTGGGAGGCCAGGGGGTGTCTTGTCCCCTTTTCAAAAAACAGGAGGGCCAGCACCAGCCTGCATCTCAGAGCTGCTGTGAGGACCAGTGAATCACTGTGCAAAGATGCTAATAAAGTTGACCCTGGGTTTTGTGAACAGTGAGGAGTGATGCCTACAGGAGGGGGTTGAGCACCCACAGCAGGGGTCAGTCATTCACTCTACTGTCTCCTCCAATCTGGAGTCAGCTGCGGCTAGAAAGTTGGCGATGAGAACAGAATGGCCTCCCTGGAGTTGTCCACTGCTGCTGCCACCACTGCTGATCCTTCCTGAGTGTCCTTTGGGCATAAGTCCTAGGAAAAGGCCCAAAAGACATCAGGAGGAGTAAGTGAATTTCTCACTGCTTGGTGACCCATCTTGGCTATATAGCAAAGTGATGTCAACCTGAAATATCATTGCCTGGATGTGAGAAGTTAGTTCACCTTGAGAGGAGATTGAAGCAGGGCAGGAGCTGTAAGCTATGTTCTATGAAAAGAAGGGGGTGCAAAGATGGGCCAATGAAATAAAATTCAGAAACAGAGGTCAAGTGTCCAAGGACAACTCCAGATCAAAGAAAGTGGAAAAATCAGTATGGCCTGGGGAGACAGTGGGCTTATAGTGCAATCTTGATCAGTGGGATGAATTTGCATCTAAGTAATGATGCATCCTTTTGGGGGTCAGCAAGCCCACTCCCACAAGTGTGCCCCTCCAGTCTTAAAAAGGCATCTGTCTGGAAGTAGTGGGGAAACTCAGAAATGCCAACACAGCTCCATGTATGTACCATGCCTGTGACAATACAGCCCCACAATGAAGTTGGTGCCTGGAGGGTGACTGTGGATGGTACATGTCTAGGCAGAAGTTGTACCAACAAAAGCAAGTGGTAGAACTCCCCCACCCTCTTCCCAAGGAGGTAAGACTTGAATTGGATCTTGAAAGCCAGGGAAGTCTGAAATAAAGAGAAAGAGGGTAAGACAGTCTGGGAGAGGATGGAGGAGATACGTTATGGGCAAAGACCACCAGAGAAAATGTATGTTCTGAAAAAAGAAGAGAAGACGAGCTTCATAGCAATAGAAGGCTTGTGTTGGATCACAGGGGAGAGTCATGCTAGAGAGGGATACGGAGTTAAATGTTGGAGGCTTTGGTTGCCAGGGTAAATGGTGTGGACTCTCTTTTGTTCACAGTGGGGAGTGACTGTACAACCGCCTAAGCAGATGTGGGTGTGGACGAAGCAGTGATTGGAGAATCCTGACAGGTGGGTGTGGATGAGACCAGGTGTGGTGAAGCCAGCGTGAGGGGTCAGCCAGAAAAGGCTTTGCACTAAGTCCAATCCCACCTCATGCCCTGTCCTAGCCCATCCCACCTCCTGCCTCCGCCAGGCCACCAGCACACATGACCCCATGTCCAACCAGCCCCCTTGGGCCCTCTGCACCCCTCTCCCCCTGCCCTGCCTGCCTATGTGGACCCTACTTCTCCTATTAGAAAGGAGGGGATCCCAGGAGGCTTGCCTCATGTCCTGGCAACCTGCCAAGCACAAAACCTCTCTGTTGCTTTGAACTAAAAACTGAATAAGAGTTAACCTTCAAAAGCTTGAAGAGCTGCCAAAATCCTCTTCAACAGTGGAATTGGCTCTTGAAGAAATAAAGAAAAAAATTTTTTTAAGTTAAAATGTTAAAGTGTGCAGGTAGGTGGCCATCACACGGGCTACATGCACCGCTTTGGAGACAAACACGTGTTCTGCCTCAACACTGATTTACTGAACACCTACTATGTGCTAAGTGCCAGGCACTGTTAGGCACTGAGAATAGGGTGGTGAAAAATGCAGACAATAAGCCCTGCACTCATGGGGCTTGCATTCTAGTGGCGGAAATGAAACAGGTAAATAAAATAAGCAGTAGAGCAGAGGGTTCAACCTCCAGGATATAATGCCTTCTGATCTAAGGTGGAACCAACAATAATCCTAGAAGCAAAGTGCACTATAAATGTAATGTGCTTGAAAGCATCCCGGGCACCACGAAACTTTGCCTTCCACAAAAGCAGTCCCTGGTACCAAAAAGGCTGGGGAGCTCTGCCCTAGAGAGAGACGGCAGTGAGGATGAGTTCTCTGTAGGTGCGAATGTGCCCAGGAAGGTGTACCTCTGATGCAGGTGACCCTTGATGGGGACTGAGCAGAGCACCCAGGGATGAAGCTGAATTTCAGCAGAACGTGTTGTGTGCTCCTTTTTATCCTTCCTACCAAGGGAAACTACAACAAGTGGGATCCAATCCTCTCTACTGGACAAGGGGCTCTGAATTGAGAGCAAGGCAGCCAGGGGTCTAGAAATATTTATTAACTCTCTGCTCCAGCCTAGGCATGGTGATCACAGAACCATTGACCAATCTTTCAAGTCTCCCTCTGTGTCCAGCGCCCACTGTGCATTCAATACTGTGGATTAAACAGCATTATAGAGTTGACAGATATCAACAAATTTAGTAGCTGGCCCCCTGAAATCATGAGCAGTAGTTCTGCTCTGCCTCCCTCTTCCAGGTGGGGAAACTGAGGCATGGTTTGCTAGCCCATGGCAGAGCCTGGAGTTGAACCAGGCTGTCCAGCTCCGGAGCCCATATGCTTCACCTCTAGGGTACAACTCCTGGACTTCCCTGGTGGCTCAGATGGTAAAGCGGCTGCCTACAATGCGGGAGACCTGGGTTCGATCCCTGGGTCAGGAAGATCCCCTGGAGAAGGAAATGGCAACCCACTCCAGTACTCTTGCCTGGAAAATCCCATGGATGGAGGAGCCTGGTGGCCTACAGTCCATGGGGTCACAAAGAGTCAGACATGACTGAGCGACTTCACTTCACTTTTACCTGCCAGGGGAACAACTCAAAAGTCACCCAAACATACCTCCTTGGCTCCAATACTGCAAGGATCTGACCCCTTAGGCTGAAGAAGGGAAGGAGGGGGAAGCCCCGCGAGCAGGAGCTTTTGGGGGAGACGTTACAGGGAAAGACCCAGAAGCATGCCTGCAGGACAGAGATGCGCCCTTTCATCTGCTGAGAGCCATTACCTGAGTCAGGACTGACACAAAGGAAGCGGCGAAACACGTTAACTGATGTAATGCTGTGAGGGAGAGGTATGCCACCTGGTGAAATTTTGAGGCAAAGACTCAGAGGTGAGAAGGAAACAGCCTGATGAAGGATGTGGTGTAAGTGAATTCTTGCTACCTCCCACTGGCCGGACATCCTTGGACACGACCCTTGATCTGTCTGTGCCTCAGCCTCTTCGGCACAATGGAAAACACAGAACCCAAGGTACAGGGCTTCCCTGGTGGCTCAGTGGTAGAGAATCCGCCTGCCAATGCAGGAGACCCGGGTTTGACCACTGATCCAGGAAGACCCCACTTGCCATGGAGCAACTAAGCCCATTCGCTGTAACTACTGAGTCTGTGCTCTGGACTCTGGGAGCTGCAACTGCCGAGCCCATGTGCCTCAGCTATTGAAGCCCATGCACTCTAGAGCCTGTGCTCTGCAACAAGAGAAGCCCCCACAATGAGAAACCCACACACGGCAGTGGAGAGTAACCCCGGCTCAGGGCACCTGGAGGAAAGCTCATGCAGCAGTGAAGACCCAGCACAGTCAAAAATAAATAAATACTTACTCATATTTATTTCACTGCTGAGATTATGGCATCTGGTCCCATCACTTCATGGGAAATAAATGTGGAAGCAGTGGAAACAGTGTCAGACTTTATTTTTTTTAGGCTCCAAAATCACTGCAGATGGTGACTGCAGCCATGAAATTAAAAGACGCTTACTCCTTGGAAGGAAAGTTATGACCAACCTAGACAGCATATTAAAAAGCAGAGACATTACTTTGCCAACAAAGGTCCATCTGGTCAAGGCTATGGCTTGTCCAGTAGTCATGTATGAATGTGAGAGTTGGACGGTGAAGAAAGCTGAGCACCAGAGAACTGATGCTTTTGAACTGTGGTGTTGGAGAAGACTCTTGAGAGTCCCTTGGACTGCAAGGAGATCCAACCAGTCCATCCTAAAGATCAGTCCTGGGTGTTCATTGGAAGGACTGATGTTGAAGCTGAAACGCCAATACTTTGGCCACCTCATGCGAAGAGCTGACTCATTGGAAAAGACTCTAATGCTGGGAAGGATTGGGGGCAGGAGGAGAAAGGGACAACAGAGGATGAGATGGCTGGATGGCATCGCCGACTCGATGGACATGAGTTTGGGTAGACTCCGGGAGTTGGTGATGGACAGGGAGGCCTGGCATGCTGTGATTCATGGGATCACAAAGAGTCGGACACGACTGAGGGACTGAACTGATTTCACTGCTGAGGCAGTGAAATATTATAAATATTTATAAATAAAATACTTATTTTTAAAGAAGAAATAGATAACTCAAATACTGTTATATCCATTAAAAAAAACAGAATTGTGAACATCAAATGAGGTCATGCGTGCAAAGCATTAAGCACCTGTTATACAGTAGGTGGAGAAGGAAATGGCAACCCACTCCAGTATTCTTGCCTGGAGAATCCTGTAGACAGAGGAGCCTGATGGGCTGCCATCTATGGGGTCGCACAGAGTCAGACACAACTGAAGTGACTTAGCAGCAGCAGCAGCATACAGTAGGTGCTCAGTGAATGTTGGTTTTATCCCCACCCTATTCTCCGGCTGTCCCAGCTCTCAAGGTTGCCCTTTATTCCCACAGAGCATAGGTCAGCTCTAGGGAATGTCCACATCCCCCAGGTGACCACTGATCCAGGTGTGCGATGAAATCCCTCCCAGTGAAACCATGGAGGTAGAACATCCTCAGAACCCAAAAGTGCGGATGGAGAGCCTTCAGGGACTTTGCCCAGGGAATCCGCCTAGAGGGCAAGACCGCTCTTGCTGCAGGGATGTTTGCTGTGGGGGCACGTGGGCTGTGACAGCACTGGGGCGCCCAGGGGGAGCCGCTGGCCCAGGAGCGAGGGCTGAGACTGCAGAGGC